GGTAGAGGAGAAATTTTTTTTGTCCGAAAATTTCAATTTTCAGAAATTTAATTTTTACACTCAGTTTACAATAATTATCGAAAATTAAAAATTTAATTTTCCGAAAATCTTAGAGATTACCGCGTACCAAACAGAGCCAGAGAAACATAAAATTTCCTTCCCACAAGGAAATAGGACTCGGTTTAGAAATGGTCTAGGTGATCTACGCATCCAGAAATAAATTTGTTGATTGTTGACCGCAACAAATCTAACCAATACATCCATACCCTCTTTTTCACTCTAATTCAAGTCTCCTAATGCTTATTTTTGTCTTCTATTCGTAACATTTATTAGATGAAAAAAATAATTAAATATTTACGCAACATTATTACATTACAAATTCCATTAGACTTATAAAAAAATGACTTTTTTTTATCTACTTATTTTAGAAAGTTTTTTTACAAACTGTAAAGTTATTTAGATTTTTTTTTTTAATTTAATTTTTGAAATTTTTTTTAACTTTTTACTTGTACTTTCCTTTGAAGTTAAAATTTCTAACTTAAAAAAAAAAATTAAGTTTTTGAACTTTTTTTATGATTTCTATTTTTTTTAAAACAAACGTTCAAATAAACTGTAATAAAAAATGCTTTTTTTAAAAAAAATCAACTTTTGGTTAAAAAAAATTATTTAAAAGAACATACAGTGATTATATGAACTTAATTTATATTTCTATTGGAAACTCATTTTCATACATCTACGTCTGTGAAATAGTAGATGTTACAAAGCCAAATAATTTGTGAGATGTTATTACATGGATTTCAAAAAGTTATATAGAATAAAAAACAAATACTTGATTTGAATATTTGAGTAAGAAATTATGATCTTTCAAAATTTTATAGTCAAATTATTAACTTTTTATGTCAAATGTTATTACATGAATGATGCTGGGTTTCGCCTAAATTAGACAAGATCAGACTCAACTTATTTGGGTGAGTTCATGTAGGCAATCCTGACTATTTTGGATGGGAGTGATTTCGTCTTACTATGTTTTGATAATTTTTTATTTAAATAATAATATTTTAATTTATTTATTTTTGCCAACATTACAGTGTCGTGATGAGTTAAGAAACAAAACAAAACACCATTCAATCTTCAATTGGCCAGTCTAATTAGCTAGCATCATCAGTGAGAAGCACGCACTTCTCTTCGATTTGTGTGGCTTTTGGCATCTACAAGGTCGCTTTTATCATTTAATGCTTTTACAGTTCAAATGGACAACAATGTTTTCCAAAAATAACAGCAAAGTCGTCACCAGACACCAGCTATTCAATTATAAAAAAAATGGTTGACACTTGACACCACCAAATTTAATTTGCAATTTTTAAAGCATGTATGGCAGTCATTATCCTCCCAGCTTTCAAAGTAAAGTTACACACACAAAATAACACCATTAACACAATACAAAAACTCTTGGCTTTTTTTTCTATTGTTACATTTTTTTTAATTTATGCTATCAAAATTATTTTGTACACGAGTCATGTTCAAGAGGTTACACACACAAAAAGTCACAATATTTTTGCATTATTAAATTTTATGTTATGACTTTGCAGAACTACATCAAATTTTCTGCACAAATCTATAAAAACTAAAATGAAATAACTTTGTGCGCAAGTTATACTTTTTATTTGTTTGAACAACTTTTGTTCACTTAATATATCTCTTATATAAATGTACATGTAATCAAACATTTTGTGTATAAATTTTCTGTTTACATATCACATTTCTTCTTCTAAAAGCGATCCAATTAATCGATGAGGAAAATCTTACTGGTCGAGGACCATAAAAAATAGGTGGTCTCATTTGAAAATATAAAAAAAAATAAAAAATTCTACCTTATTTCTTTCATTCATTTATATTTTTATTTAAATCCCATTTTTGCAAAGAGGGCCACCCATTTTTTGTGGTCATAGACCACTAATTTTTTTTTTCTATTTGGGCATGCGCAATATTCACACTTCAAGTCCAAAGAGCTCTTGTATGAAGGAGTGTGTTAGATAATAATATAAATCATTAAAAATGCCATCACCCAACACGGGTTGAAGTGGTTCTTTAAAGTTTTTAAATTAATGTCAGGTACCTATTATTAATCACCTTTTGCATTTGCGGCAACCATTGCTTGCTTTATGTTATAATGACATGGGGATCATACTTTACAGACTAATGGTACTCTAACAATATATATTTTTCACAAGCTACTGATACGGTTGCAACAAATTTGAGAAGTAAAAATGTATTAACACTTTTATTGCTTTAATTAGTCACTTTAACTTGCAGCCACGATAGTTTCTGTACGATTAACGAATAGAGATTGTGTAAGTGGCAAAACTCGAATTTTTATATCCTACTAGTGTCGTGAATCGCAAACTATACTCATATCAGACTAATAGCTATTTATAACACTTGCAACTACTGCAGCCTTGGTGAAATAGATGCAATATTTGTTGAGTCAAGTCGGACCTTCAAGTTGATTGCGGAAGCGAAACAGTAAAATGCAAGAGAAGAGTGATGGAAAAGAACATAGACAATTTGTTTAATGTAGGAAAATCTCCTCCAATTTGAGAAGTAAAAACTCGCGGGACACTAGTCCAGAATCAAACTTCCACTATAAGAATAATGGGTTACTCAGTCGAGTTCTTTCTCTCATGGAAGATTCCTTCACCTCACTTTATTGATCTTATCCCTTCCTCTATTTATAGATGGCTAGAAGGGATATCTTCAATGCTCAAGATTCTTCTTCATTTAATGTGAAGGATTTCAATATAACTCTTCATTCTCCTATAAAGCCCTTTCATTTTTTCATAAAGCCTTTTCATTCTTCTATGCATTGGAACTTGTATCTAATTAAGGATAAATAATCCAACAATTCTCCTCCTTTTCGACTTAATTAGAGGGGATCTTCATATCCGCTCATTCGCAGCAAGTGTAATCAATACTTGCTCCCCCTCAAGCAGAGGTCTCTTGTCGTACTCCCAAAATTAAGTACTTATTGTGTCTCCAACCAAGCTCTTGGTCTCAGGATTGAAACCGCTATGATATCACTGTTGGGTCAAGTCAAACCCTTAAGTTAAATGCGGAAACGAAACAGTAAAATGCAAGAGAGAGATGGAGAAGAATACGGTCAATTTGTTTAATGCAAAAACCTTCTCGAATTTGAAGAAGTAAAAACCATGGGACACTAGTCCAGAATCAAACTTCCTCTATAAGAATAATGGGTTACAACAGTCAAACTTCCCTAGAAAGATCTCACTCAAACTTCTCCCTAAAGGTATTGAGTCGAATTTTTTCTCTCTTGGAGAATTTTTTCACCTCACTTTGTTGATATCATCTCTTCCTCTTTTTGTAGATGGCTAAGAGGGATATCTTCAATGCTCTAGATTCTTCTTATTTAATGTGAAAAATTTCAATACAACTCTTCGTTCACCCATGAAGCCCTTTCATTTGTCTGTGAAGCCTTTTCATTTTTCTATGCATTGGAACTTATATCTAATTAAAAAATAATAATCCAACAATACTTGCCCAGTGATTGAAAAAATATCTTTTTATTTTTTGTTATTTTATTGTCAAAATGTTTAACAGAAAATTGGGATAAGAGCAAAGGCTAAAATATAATGTTTAGAAATTACTCAGTGATTATCTCTTATTAACAACCAACATCCTTTTAATTCAGAATTCTGATCATTGAGGCCAGGCCACAGCCATGAATGACGTAGTATTTGATCTACCCCCTCTCTGATTCTATTATGTTTCATGGCTATTGCCTTTTCATCGTTGCACACAGACCCCACCACACTGGCTCTTCGACTGTGCCCAAACACAAATTTATAATATCAGATTGGTGATTCAACTTCCAGCATATTAAAGCAATATATATTCACAATCAAATAATAAAATAACAGTAGTTTACGCAATGTGGGATGTCAAGCATATAAGGCTCAAAATTACTTGGTGCCACTTCGCGTAGATTTGCGTCGTCTTCCTAATTTTTTTTTGCAGTGATACAACGTTGGGAAAGCATCTGCCAATTGCCATGGATGATTGATTTATTGATTTTGATAAGATTGGCATGCATAGTTGAATGTTAGTGATGTTGCGGTACATTGTGCAAAGCTACCCAGTACGAGCGTAAACAAATTGGTGATACATGTGTACCAACTCAGTTATGAGCATGATTCGACTCTCTATTAATGAACCCTACATGAAATTTCGTCCAATAGCGAAGTGTTAAAAAAATATCAAAAAATATATTCCCATCAATTATCTTGTTTTGTGCTTAAAATTCTTCATTAATTTATGGGGAATACTTTTCTCCTTTAACAGGAGAAAAGAGTTGTCTCCTACTGAGACAAAAAAGTGAAACCAGCAATTTAAAAAAAAAGTAAAAACAAAAACAAAAGTTTAGCACAAAAGTCGATGTATGTGTAGGAATAAAATCTTGTCTCATGTGAAAGAAGAAAAGTATTTCCCTTAATTTATTACTGGTTTTCTTAACCAACATTTTAGGAAACAACCAGACCAAGAATTTCTTTACACTAAGGGTGCGTTTGGATAAACCTGAAAAATAACGTCATCATGATAAAGTATTTTATTATTTTTTTGAAAATATTTCAATCGATTTATTACAAATTGGTGATAACATCATCATGATAAAGTATTTTTTTAGGATCTACTATTTTTAACTTCTGAAAAACATTTTTTTTTTAATTTTTTCTTTTTATAAAACATATCTACTGATTACTATTTTTTTAAAACATTTTTTTACTTAAGAAAACACTTGGAAAACATAATGTTAATTAATGTTGAACGGTCTATTTAATGCAGCTATAAACATGGACGCAAAATTCAGTTCCTTACGACCCAATAACTCCAAGGAATGAGACATGGAATCTATTTTCTCTCCCAATCAGAGAGCATTGGATATGAGCATCACACTGTAAAACTATTTTCAAATTAATAAATGGTGAAAAATTGTTTAGAGTGTACAGCAATCAGGCAGAAATATAAACCACATACGGTAGCTCGACTTAATGTGCCATAGGGTCAATGAGTAGCATCCCTACCACTACCAGCAAGAGAAGTTAAAGACTCACCAAAAGCAAATGGCAAGATTCTATTTCCGTTTAAACCGCATTCTGTGCCCTCTTTTCCTTCAGTATCCTCCTCCTATATATTTAAACACAGGCAAAACAAGGGATGTTCAAATTAGCTATATAGAGAGTTCAAGTCATCCCATTGAAGATGCCAATGCTCTTCGAAATCACTGAATCATTGCAGATCGGAATAGTTCTGCATTTCTGCTATGTACAAATGAATGGGCCACCTAGGAAAAACATGTGAAAGATAGGGTTAAAAATACCAGAAGAACCAATAGGAAAATATTGACAACCAAAATAACTTGCTTACAAGAGAATTAACAGGTACAAAAAATGTATCAGCGGCAATTTCATAATACACACACACACAATTCAGTTCAGTCATCAATTAATCAAACCTGAAATAATTCTAATGCAGACAGGCACTATTTACAAACATCAGTGACCAATATATGAGGGCAAACCATGGAGCAGCAGTAAGGTTGCGTTGTGTAAGTGAAGGGTGTAAATAGGCTAGGCTAGGCTTTGACTTAAATAGGTCAGGCCTGTGTAAAAAACATTGAGTCTGGTCTAGCCTGTTAGCCTGTGTAGGTCTCAAATTACAAGTCTAACCTGACCTATATTTAAAAAATAAAAGTCTTGGCTTAGGCCTGTTAGTCTGTTTAAGCCTATTAAACATTCAACAATTAAAAAAATAACTAAAATAATATTACTTTATTATTCAAAATTATTAAAATAATAATTTTATTTAAAATAAATAACATCATATAGGCCGGTCTGTAGGCTTATAGGCCCGACATGTACACAAAAGCCTATGACATATTTTCTAAATAGATTTTTTTAAAAGCCTATGCCTGTTCTATTTTACTATTTGTAATAGGTCAAGTCTGGCATAGTATAGACTAGGCCGTAAGCTCCCCCATTTACATCCCTGTGTGTAACCAGAAGGTTCGAATATGGAAAGCAGTCTTTTTGCAAAAATACAAGGGTAAGACTGCATACAATCAACCTTCATCCTTACCCTAGCAAGTTGGGAAGCATTGTGTATCGGGATTTGTCTTGCAATAACCAATATATATTTCTAACACCACTTCAGTGTATATGAACTTGACAGCAGAATTAGCACAAAACAAAGGGGCCCAAAAGACCAAAACTAGAAAAACGCTCAATACCAATATATTTAAACCGCAGTATGTTGTTATGTACCTAAAAATTCCAAAATTTATTGAAAGTGATATTTCATTAGAATACTACATGCAACATAATTGAGGGTAGGGTTAGATGTACACAGACTTGCTCCCAAAAAGAGAGGCCATTTCCGGCTTTCCACTACAAAAACCCAGGACCACTGGGTTACAGGGCCGGCAGCAACCTTACTCGTTTAATCAAAATTCTGAATCAAATAAATACTTTCTTAATGCTACACAGTACACACATCATGCAACTAGTGCTGTCACATGTCATGATAATATTTTGTTGATGTATTTAGAAAATAAAATGAAGTTCAGAATTCAAATAAATGTTTATTTACCAAAGCATTGTATTCAGATATCAATATAACATCATGAATGTGTTCTTCGATCAACGGAAACTTCAATGAGCTTCTCTTCATCTGATTTAACTGGTAATGGTGCATCTAAGAGCATATTTGGTGGGGCAAAATACATGTGCAGAGACATCATACAAATAATAATGCCCAAGAAAAGCTGAAAAGAGAAAGAAACAGGAAATTATTATCCAGTCATAGCCTCAGAACAACGGCATGAAAGGTTTTAAACAATCATATCAATATTCAATGTCTGAATGAAAAATATAAAACAAGGGTTTTTACTCATAAAGAATGGACAATAGGCTTGAAAAAGAAACATCATCTATTATACATTTAAAAAGAAATTTGCACATCGCTTGAAATAATCTGTTTTAATAAGAATGATTAAAACAAACATTCCACAAAATTGAAGAACAACAGATTCTATACTAGAGAAACAGCAAAACAGCTTTGCTAATCCTCTAAAACAACATCATATGATTATGTCTGCATGTGGTAGCTGAAACTCCAAATTCTATGCAAAATATTGATTTGACCTAAAAGTTAGGCTATGAGGGGAAAGCATGGAACGGTTGCCTACAAATATAGGAATAGGAATTGCTTAGGCTGGAAATTTACCTGCAATGTAGGTTTGAAGTTGAAGAGAAATAGTGATAGTATCATTGTCAGCAGCATTGCCATTGATGTGGAATAGACCTAACAAAAGCAGACACAAGAGTTAAGGGAAAAGAGAAAAGAAAATAAATAAATAGACAAACAAACTTCATTATTCATTTCAGTGTCACATAACAATTACTTATTTCCCTCACAAGAAGAGGATTATTCTTAGGAGAAAAAAGAAAAACTCAACGTCATGACATACGTCAAATACATGTTTCATTAAACCATGTAAAGAGGTTTGCAAGAGGGTCAAAAGATATACCTTGACAATATTATCTGCATGTTTCATTAACCATGACACTAAAAGACCAGTAGACCCTAGATTTAATACCACCATCCAGGTAGTGATAGAGTATCCATTGAAAATACGTCGCCACCAGGGTCCATTTTCAAATCCACCTCTGAAATCATCCATAAGAAGTCGGGCCATATTGAAAATTGTTCCAAAACTGGAGAAAGAAATTCATTTAGAGTGTATTCCTCTTACTTGAAATTTGAAAAACTAAAAATATTGGTAATCACATTCATTTGCTAGAGTGCCATGACAACACTATTCAAGCATCCCTTATCACATCTTCTGATTTGACAGAAACATCAATTTGGTTAATAGGAAAGGAAACACAATCAGATACAACTTACTACTTTCTAAGAATGAACAGTGCTGAAATAATTCCTTATAATTTCAAAACAGAACTCAAAGTAAAAAGAAAAAATGTACTGCATGTTCTAACAATTGGAAATCCAAATGTATCAACACAAAACACAGCTACCCCCCCCCCCCCCATATTTCTCCCCAAAATAAATTAATAAAATAATAATAATAATAATAAACAAAGAAAAAAAGAAGAAGAACAAAACCCAATATCATACACAAAACCACAAAAATTGTAAGTTAAAAGAGGTTAGGAAATAGGAACCTAAATAGGAAGAACTAAACAATTTCAATAGTAATATATGTTCTTCTCTTACTTAGTCAAAGTTAAAAGCATTCGTTTCTTGATAATGTAATAACCACATTCACTTAATAGGTTAAGGGAGACAAAATGGAGAAGAAATAGCTTTTGAAATAAACAGTTCAAAAGATTATCAGACTGACATGTTTGCCCATGCCTATGCAGACATTTGACATGACAAATTCAAGAAAGAATACCTACGTGTACAACTGTATATTCTGCCAGTATAAGCTGTCATTGTTTTTCTTCATCAAGAACTCGGTATAAATTCCAGCTAATGCTGAGAGACAAGCAGATAGAACTCCTAACATATAGCCCTGAATTGGTGCGGACAAAAGGGAGTCACATGAAGCCTCTCCACAGCCCCTAACCTAAAACAACAAACAGTAGAGATTCCATCTCAAGAACATGTTTAACATACCTCAAACTTTCCTAATATACTGACCACAAAAAATAAAAACAAAAAAACCAAAAAAAAGTAAAAGCAAAAGAAAACAAAAGCTTTGTATGTGATGATAAAGGGAAATAGTTTGGAACTAATTAAGTCAAAGCTAGAACACTGAATTGATGTAATATGGTCATTTAGGGTATTTTTTTTGTTATTTGATGTATTTGGGCTTCAATTTCATGTAATTTAACATGCAAGCTCATTCCACACTTAAGTCCTGTACTCATGGTAATTTCCACTACTAACATGCAAAGAGATCAGACAGCTGTCATAACTGTGAGCCACTTTGGCTGACAGTTTTCTTTTCCTTTTTTTTTATATTTTATTTAGGAGGATTTCTTATCCTCTCCCGAAAGCTACTTCCTCTCATGATCAAAGGAAGGTTCTTTCTAAGTATACACATGTGCCATCTATATTAATAGAATCTTTCTGAGACCCCAAACAGTTGTCAGTAGGGGAAGCCAAGAGCTGGTTGAATTTATTCAAGAATATAATTCTCAAAGTTCGATATTTGAAGCTATCAGTATCTTAGCAGGTTACGATTATTACAGGAGAATAAATCACAAATTAAAAATTCTTCAACACAATTTAGCATGTTATGACTTAATATCACGTTACCAAAACATTTACAATTCATAGTAAAGAATAACCATCGTTAAGAGCAGGAATAAGGCAGAAAGAGTGCAAATAAGGCATCTTCCAAAAAGAAACCACAAGAAACAAACTACGAAGGAATCATTTTGCTGTACTAAAATGACCTTATAGAATTTGGGTATTATGTCAGCAAATGATATAACTTTAATTTATTCAGACCTATTGTTCACAATACATAGCAAATAATGCACAAAAGCTTTCTTATAAAATAAATTTAAAGCCAGACAACTAGAGTTTGCAAGACTGCAAGTTTTTGGCACCTGACTTGTGGTTGTCCCAACAGCCAGCAGCACAATTGCCATCCACTGCAAGTTAGAAAGCCTCTTCCCTAAGAACAGTCTAGAAATAGGTATATGAAATCAGCTATAATTGAGAAACAAAACATAATACAATGACTAACAGATAGAGCTTGATCTGAATTATGAAAAGAAGAAGGCACCTAAATAGTATTCCAGTGGTAACAATCTTCAAATTTCCCATTATCTGGTAGGTTGAAGTGTCCACATATGTGAGGGTAGCAAACTGAACATTATTGTGGATCAGATATATAATAGAAGGAATGGGGTACAAAGTCACCGTTTTCAACTCCGTTGTCATCTTTGGCAGAGGTGACTTTTGACATTCCTTCCACAGTAACAAACTTGACACGGCAAGCTGAGTATGATAGCATACAAAGATATCAATGTGATTAAAAAAAAATAAAAATCAAAACTATAATAAAATTGATACACTAACTAAATTTACCTTGAAAAACTCAGCAAGAAATGGGACAGTCGCATAATCATACTCATATTGTCCATTACTTTGCGAGAGGGTTGTTAATATTCCCTGTCACGTGAAATGAATATATTAGCATTATTTCAGTGAATGGAGGATGGAAATGGATGACATTAGGGTTTAAATGAAGATTTGGGGGAAAATGCAGAAATAGAAGAAAAAGGAAAACAAAAAATGTGAGTGACCTGAGAACTGGTGAGAACGGTGAGGAGCGCAGCGACCAAGTACCACTGCATCTTCTTCCACGCTTGTTGCAGATCCACACACACAGAGACTCGCCGACTCAAGAAAGACGCGCCCAAACGCACCGTTTTGTTGCCAACTTAGGAGCTTCAAAAGCGTCATTGGATTAACTTATTACTTATTTCTACGATTGAAAAAAGGAAAAAATATTTGTAAAATGACATAAAGTTATGTGATTTTAAGAGAGAGATAGACATAAAAAAATATTTTTATTTAAAATTTAAATTAAAAAAATTACTCACTTTCTCTCCAATAATTTTCATTCCTTGTGTCTATCTCTCTCTTGAAATGACATAATTTATGTCATTTATAATAATAAACACCAAATCCTTAAAAAAATCTATTATTTTCTCGTAATAATTTAGGAAGAAAGTTATACTTACCATCAATTAAGTTTATCACTTTTTATCATTTTTTTTTATATTTTTTATAACTTTAGATAGTAATGACCTATTATGCACCGACGACGTGTCGTGTCCGATATTTTTCGATACTTCGACACTCCAACATGCGTTGTAAAGACTCAAAAAGGGTTCAAATACTGCGTTATGCTACGTTTTTAGTTTCAATTATTAGATATATTGGATTACAATAACCATTTTATCGAGTTTAATATAAATATTTGTGATATCTTATGTTCCTTTATAAAATTGATGGGTATTATAAGTTTAGTTTTTTTTTTTTTTTTGTAAAATTATTGAATACGTGTCGAAATTTAATATTTTTTAAAATTAACGTGTTGAACTGTCGTGTCATATGATATCCTGCATCCCGTGACGGTGTCATGACAACTGTTGATTTGATTTGATTTCATTGATGATTACAAGAGAGGTAATAATAAAAGGTGGTAAACTTAGTAGAGGTAATAATAAAAGGTGGTAAACTTAGTTGGTGATAAATATAATCTCTCCCTTTTACTTATTGCTAAACAAGTTATAAAAATATTGTTCAAGTTTGTTTTATACTTTCGTCTATAAATATGGATAGTCTAAACAATAATGTGTGCTCAATTATGTTACTTTTACGAAATGAAATAATATTTGAAAAAATGGGGAAATTGTCGTTTTTATAGAAACTCTCTCATGAAATTATGAAAAAATAATTATTTTCTTGAAATAAACTAATTTAACCAGGCACATCAATCTGTTTTTTTTCCTTAAAGAAAAAATAAAAAATAATAACCATTATTTAAGTAAATGTGATTACATTATTGTTTATTAAGATATAAATAAGAAGTCGTGAAATGTTTTTATTAAATAAAAAAATTGGCTGGGTAATTATGAAGAGTCTTGAACCAGTTGGGCGAACTCACACTAATAGATGACAAAACGAGCATACTCGTACTTAATGATAACTATTTAATGAGAATTTGATTCGTATTTCAGTGATTTGCTTGGTTGAAATATGAAATAAATAACTTCAAGAATGATCATATATTGAAAGAAGGAGCGAAATAAACTCACGGCAAGCCTCAATTTACTAAAGCAACATAGACAGGGTCACGTTTAGGATCTGATTTACCAATCTACAAATTAGCCACTTTAACTCTTTTCGCGTCCTACTACTTTTCCCTTCTTCTTTTTTAGAGTATTATGAACCAATCAACCATAGACATGGAATGGAAACAGTTAATTAATAACCTCACATTTTGAAATAGAAAATTAAAATTGGAAACATAGGATTGAGGATAAAAAATGTATCAAAATAAGCCTATAGTTTTCATGGGTCCTTAATCCACGCGATTTTTTTTTACCACCTTTGAACTCCTCTCTAGCATTTATTTCGGATCTATATATAAATGCAGACAGTCTAAAATCTAGGCTTGATTTGATGAGACAGAATTTTTTGGAAAGAAAATGTCAGAAGCAGAGAAAGAAAGAGATAGGATGGAAGATTATGAAGAGGAAGAAGAAGAGAATGTTACATGGAGTCATGATGATTCAAATCTACCAAACACATATCTAGCTGAGCTAAACATGTTGCTTGTATTCCTTTCGTTATTTTACATTTCAACCGATGAGTGCATGGAACATGAGGAGAGCGAGCAAAGCATAAGAGATATGGTTGCTGTGAATAAAACATGCATATCAACCAAGAGACGAGAGAAACATGAGCCCAAGCTTGGGAGGAGATTCTTTTCACCAAGATTTCAAACTACCATCAGAGACTCCAGGTAACCTTCCATACACCATTTTCACAATGTGATACAAATTTAGACCTTAAGACTGCATTTTGGGAACATACTAATTTTCTCTTGTTTGGGAGAAACAGAAAGTTGAATTAAAATATGCTAGTCTTTAAGCTAATTTCTCTAAGAATAGAAATTAGTAAAATAATTAAGGAGTAGTAAATTTTGGTATAGGAATTCATAGCCTAAGACTCACGGTTACTCTATAACAAATATAATTGTGGCACCGAGTATTGACATGACATCATCAAAGATATTAAAGCATTGTTGTTTTGTTATGTTGTGTTCAGGCATGGAAGAAAAATGTGAGGCAAAATCTTTCTACTTACACAAATCAACATAAAGTATTATAGAGAAATGATGAAGCGAACGTGCAGTTTTTGCCCCATCGCAATATTTTTGTTAGCGAGGGTTTTGTATGCATAAAGGTAACCAATTTAGAAGCTGTTGATCAACAAAGTAAGGATGATGACGAAGCTCCGCCATCAAATGGTGGACTCTTGTACTGACGGTATGGTCATCTTGCATTGTTTATCGGTTGACATTCACCATGTAATTGATATACTTATATTTTTTGATATACTATAATATTAAACAAATTTTGATTATTGGGGGACTTGGAAGTTGAAGTATAGAGAATTTGATTTATTTGTCGACATTAAAATTATACGGGCAGTAGCATAGGTTTTCAAAACCGAAACCATTTAATTAAAATTGAACAAATAGCCTGAAAAATTGGAAACTGAATTAATCGAAAATTTTAACAAAAATATGTATTGCTTAAGAATGTCATATATCACCCATGCTTATTTTACATTCAATCCATTTTGTTTAATTTTCTACTCTCTTCTTTTATAAATTTGATAAATTTTTAAATTGAAATTTTCTAATTAAAATCTAAAAAAAAATAGTCTAATCTAAACCGATTTAAATTAGATTGTATTAAATTACATTTACGTTTTCAACAAAATCAATGATATTATAAAAAAAAAATTAATAATTTTTTTTAACCCTTCCCAATATTATCCAATCTACAAATACTTACTAAGACTATCTAAAACCTCCAATACTCACCTAATGTAGCACATGCTGAATAAAAGTTTGGAAAATAAAATTCAGTGAGCATAAATTGGCAAATAAGCCGTAAATTTCACTTCAATGGCTAATAGTTGGGTGAGAATAGACTTTTCATTGGCAGTTAACACAGTTCTTTATCAAATAAACGTGATAAATATGAACTAAGAAATAAATTAGATTAAGATAGAAATTAGCTTAAATATAAATTGGAATGTGTCCCTTGTTTTTTAAAACTGATCATTTATTGTCCTTATCACATCTCTACTTCCATAATCATCTTCCCCATCGTGCAAAAGTTTATAAACTTCTCCAAGAACCCAAAGGTAGAGAGTAAGAGTCGACCATTGACCACACCGTTGCAGTCGAAAACTGCCTCACATGGCAGTCGTGCGCTCTCGTTATCTATTCTCCAAATATAACTAGTCAAACATCAATAATCCAACCTAGGAAGTAGGGTGACATAATGGTATTCCTCCATCCCAGGAATTGTAACTCATCTGGTCAATTACACTGCAGTGATGCCAAAGGTATACGTCCAATTTTCTCATGGCAAAATCTACAACCTCTGAATCTCATGGTTAGACAATATAAAGTAAGTTGGCAAGACTATTCATTGTATTAGTCTGACTGCTTGAAAACTTGCACAAGACAATGCAAATGTAGTAACAAACACGCTTTCTAAGATGAGGGTAGGGAGGGGCATCAGTAATCAGTCACTGAATATTCCACCAATAAAAATGTTTTCTTCACTCGTGCAGAAAACCAAGCACATGTCCTTGCATTGTTTTCTCACGACACTTATTGCCATAGAAGATGAATAAGAAGCTGAATGCTACAGCATGTTCACAAGGAAATATAAATTGGAAACAAGAGAATTAATTTATAGACACTAGCTCAAGTGCTTTCTAAATAATTCTATTGAGAGATGAAAAAAGAGAAAATAGCCCTAATTTATCATCTCTGCATCCTCTTGCCTACAAAAAAAACAACAGGAGGCAACCACATCATGCGGATTGGCTTCAGTCCGATATTCTCATCTCCACTCCTAAAATGTCCTTCACCACCTCATATGTTACAAACGCAATTGCTATGGATGGGACCACCTACAAGATATCAAGAGAGATAAAGAACGTTATAGTTAAAGCAAGATAAAGGCCATCCATATTTTTTAAAAATAAAGGAGTTTATTTCAATATCACAAAGGCCACAGTAGTAAATGGGAATTGAGATAACTACTAAACACCAACCAACCAGTGGAGGCATTAACAAATGGGACTATAATAAGAACATCTTCAGTTGACCGCATTACAAAGAGGCAGCTATGCAAAGTGCACTGATTTGTGTAGTTCTAGAACACAACTAGCAAAATTCTAACAGCAACCCAAAACTTTTATGACCAATGCAGAAAATCCGAGATTTTTAAACAATCTTACAACTCTTCAATTGTGGCTGCGCCTGACAAAGTTATAAATAATAAAAGCCTGAGAGCAGGTGTTTGTCACTGTCAGTGCGTGTTTATTTGTATTTCTATTCGACTTAGACCACAGACAGTTGAGTCTTACAACAACTCCTTGACTACCTTTGCGCTGATCAGGTAGAAGCTTATTAAGTTCACAACTTTAATCAAAGAGGTAACTCCAACAGAGTATGATGGAGGAATCACACACAAGATTTGTCCATGTCACATAAACTGTGCACAAATTATTTCAAGTGATTCATAGAAATAGTAGTATCTTCCTGAAAAGAAGGAAGGAAATGCCAATCTTACTTTTCAGACAAAGTCTATCATCATGTAGATATGGTTTGCCCACATAGATGTAGAAGGATCATGACTAATAAGTATTAGATGAAGACTGACCTTTACAGAATTGGGCACCAAACCTTTGTATAATGCACCAAATCCCTCATACCGAACAGTTTTCCTGAATGCGTCAATCATGCCAGTGTATTCCAGTGGTACCTTGCCTCTTCCATCACCAGTTACAACAGAAGCAGCATGGTTCCAGCCCACCATCTGCATTCTTCGACGAATGACATCAAGAGGGTAAGCAACAGTTTGTCCAACAGTTCCAGCAGCAGCACCACATGCCAGGCGAGTTGTCACACTCAACTCAGAATCTTGAGCTAGACCAAATGATTTGGATGTAATTAACCAATCCTTCATAGACTCGTACACAGCAAAGTTGAGACCCACATAAGGAATCTGAAAAACAGAGGGAAAAAGTGTAGGAGAATATCAAGTCTAATGACAGTCCCAAAAAGAGATCTTCCAATCAAAATACGAGTGAACTTTAGTGAGTAAATTATAATTATGAAGCATGCAGAGAATATTGAAGAAGAGTAACGTTTCATATCTCTATAAATTTACTGCAGGATTATGAAGCATGACTGATAGATTTTACCCCCTTTTTTGTACCCTAAGTATCTTCCACCTAGAACCTACCATAACCACGTAGAACCTTGTCACCAGACCCTAGTAGTAGTACTAATTATCAGAATTCATTATGAAGCGTGCCAAGAACATTGAAGAATAGTAAAACTTCATGTAGAGAAACTGTTCTGTGAAGCATGTAGAAAATTCTGTAAAACAGCAATGGTGGCAGTAGAACAACAATTAACAGAACATCTAGTTGAATAGAAAGTTTCAATCTCTCAATAAATTGAACCTGCCAGTTTTAGGAGTGACCTTATGTCAATCCTACAGCCCCATGTTGCATCTAACTACGTTCAGCACAACTAACTGAATAGATACTATCTACCTACATATAATAACCAGGTATGATTCAGTAAGACTCTAGTCACACATCCTTACTAATATTCCCCACATCTATAAGCAGCACAAAAAAGGGATTTGTATTAAATTATCCCCTAAGAAGGGTGGACTATGACAGGGACACAACAAAATTTGAAGTGCTAGTGCTTCATAGGTTCTTCCCCCTCCCCCAACTGCAGCCTGCAAGTTCTACATTGTTACCATCAAATGCAAAATGAGTTTCCCATAAAGCCAATAGTAAAAGCATAGTATTGGGATTTGTTATAACACTGTCTTTATGGTTATGACCTTAATCATCGACTTCCTAAAGAGAAGAGAAATTCTAGAAACATTACTTACAACTCCAATGACTGAAGGAAGCCAGCCCTTATATAAAGCACGTGGACCTTCTTCCCTAAGCACAGTTGACAGAGCATGGAACATTCCTCTGTACCGGTAAGGGGACTTCTCTGTCTGCAAAGGAAAAGCAACCTTATTAAATATTAAGATTACAAAGAACATGGAGACAATTAATATATATTTCCTCCCCAGTTAAGTTTGCAGCTATAAGAAGTACATCTCTCTGACCCAATACAAGCAAAGCAAAGCAAAAATTTGGAAACAAGAAAAAAGTACCTGTACAGTTATCCTGCCTCGAACCATGTCCATCGGATAAGTTGCAGACATGGCAATTATTCCAGCACATGCTCCAGCCCCAAGGCGTAAAAGAGGAGTCAGCTGAGCATCCTCTGCCAAAAGTATAACCCAAAAATAAAAAAAATTCGACAAAGGGTTTTTATTATTGAGAAATTTTATTTAGATGTAATTTTTTTAGTTGTGCTTTTTATTTTTATATCTTTTAGATACATATTTCAAAAAAGCAATTATTAGAAAAACATCAATTGTCAACCTAGTGAGTATTTGGATTTATTTTGCATTTAAAAAAAATCAGAGAGTTCCTTATATGCTTGTGTGCTGTTCTCCAATAAAAATATAGCACGGGTGGTAATTTCTACACTTCATCTATGAAAACTTTAAAAAGGAGGTTGAAATGGCTAAAAATTAATACACATGTTATGATTTTATAGGAGAACAGCACCACAAAAACCCAAAGAACCGTAACTAAGTTTTTTCCTATCAAATAAGCGATTTCCCCCTAACATAAAGCAAAATCCAGACGATGCTATTGAAACTGCATTCCCACTCTCCCAACAGCATGTGTGAGTGTGTGTGCATGTGTCTTGGTGTTCCTCCAAAAGGAAAAAAACAAAAATCCTGGACATACCATTTCCAGTTTTCTGCTGATACAGACGTAGTATAGCTCTGGCAGAAAAGGAAGGAATAGTCAGTAAAAAAGAGGAGAAAAAGTTATATGTGGGATGCATTGAAATAAATATTGAAACTTCTTTGCCACAGGAGTAACCCCTCTTAATTAAAATTGTTCCGTAAAAAAATGTAGGAGGATTGCAGAATCCAATTTGCCATCATTACAAGTTTATCAGCTCATATAAATAGTTCTTCTTTACAACCAGCTAGGCATAACTGATGCAACCACCAGCGTTCTTGCTTTTATATGGTTCCATCAAATGCAATCCCAAATAGTTTGGGATGATGTTGATAAGTTTATCAGCATAATAGTGCACTACAATGAAAAGGTGACAAAAGAAAATGCCAAACAATAAAGCAATCAGTGCATCACTATATAACTAACGAAAACTTACTTGGAAGCTTGCTCATAACTGAAGAATTTCACTGCAGAATTAGGGACAATTCGAGCACAATTGGTACCATTCCCTTTGAACAGTCCACGAAAACCTTCAGTTCTCCATATATATTTTAGACCTTGAATTGTTCCATTGTATTTTATGTTGTGGGGATTCTGGACCTGTATATGGCAAGCCCCACAGAGTCACAGACACATCACGTGTATGATACATCCAAGCACAGACTCACCCCCAAAAAATAGCTTGCCACGCACCTTTTTATCCCAGCATACACAAGTAAGAAAAAAATGATAGCTAAAACCCAACTTAGGTCTAAACAACAAAATAAATTAACCTGTAGCAAAATTTTCAACCGTTCCAGGGGAGCAACTGCTGTTCGTGATCTGATACAAGAAGTTCGAGTCAGTTAAAACTCAACATAATTCAAAGTAAGTAGTAGATTCTTTTTATTGAACAGCAATGCAATGCCAGTAAATTGCATAGACATTATTAAAACAAATCCATGAACATCAAAGGCATATAACATCTCACTAACTTAATTCATCCCAAAACTGAAAATAAAGATTTCAATACAAATCAATGTTATGTGAATCTAATAATTTAAGTAAAATGTTTCGTAGATAATATTCCATCAAATAAAAAGGGTTAATTGGGGAAAGAGAAATTTCTTAGTCGTTCCCAGACAATGAAACGTCAAAGATCAATTATTAATATTCATCAAGCACGGTCCTACCCAAAACCAGCATCGAAATTTCCGGAAAGATTAACACCATCAGGAAACCAATGGAGCATGAAAATTATTTCCGATCAATCATTTCTTTTGTTTGAACGAACAACGACACATATATATATATAGATAGAGAGAGAGAGAGAGAGAGAGAGAGAGAGAGAGAGAGAATATGTATAGGTCGGCAAAGAAAACAGAAAACACATTACAGACATGTTTCCCTCAGAAACCTCTATTTGTACCACCCCCCTCCCAATAAATAAGCATTGAGAAATGGGACTAACACTCCTCCGGCGAATCCACCGGCGACGAGGGACTTGCAGATGGTCATAACTGCATAACTGGGAGCTTTGACGCCTTCTCTGGCGAGCTTGGCCTCCTCGGCCAGATTGACGATCTTAGTCTCCGAAGCCATATAAACCCTAACTACGTATCTGTATGAAAAGGAAAAGGAAATTGGATAGAAGGAGTTATCGGCGTCGGAAATTGAGATCTCAGGTTTCTGGCAGCCACACGATCATTTCTCAATGGCTATGGCTATGTATGTGTTGTGAAAGCTGTGTGAGCTGAAAGCCTGAGTGCACAACAGGGAACAGTGACGGCGTTCGTTACATTTAGGCTTATATATACTGTATGTACACGTGGATTCACTCAGGGCCAACAATTTTCTTTCAGTACTGCATGAACATTCATTGCCAATCGAACCAAAATTGTGTGGAAGTTTGTTTATAACCATGTTTCTAAATGTTTATATTTCATTTAGGGTTTAATTTATGGAAAAAAATATTTCTGCAGTTAGCAGATAAGTTATCTGTATTTATTTCTAAAACAATGTCGTTTTGATATTGAAATCTTAAAAAATTATAAATATAAAGACTATTATAACCATGAAATAAATTAAAATTACAAAAATACCATAATTTCAACCCAAAACGACGTCATATTGGACATATTGAGACTTACTGCAGAGTATTTATCTGCAATAGCTACAAAAAAAACCGAATACTTAATTTATAGTATATCATATTCAATTTATTTTTGATAAATAACATAAGGTATCCCCACATCACCTTATTCTCGGAGAGTTAGAGTATGGTCATTAAAGCTAGTTTATTATTAGAATAGGGTGCATTAAATTAAAGGTTTTATAATTCTCATGTAAGAGAGAGTTAGAATTTTCCTATACACCTTTTGATTTTCGTGCTGATATAAATTTCACATATAATTTTTTCTAACATATGAATCCAACGTGCTTTTTATCTCTGTGACATGAAAATTATAAAACCCTTAAATTAATGTTACCTGAGTAAATGTGAGGAGGAAAAGGAGATTCCACCAAAATAATTCCAATAATTTGTTTAAGTCATGGTTTGAATTTATGATGAAAACAAACCCTTGGTCACTCACTTGTCAAAGAAACGTTATTTATGTGTTATGTTACTTTTTTTTTTGTGGTGAATGTGTTATGTTACTTTAATAAAGGATAAATTATCCCATTTATTTTTCATGCGTAATTTATTTATCATTCTCTAATATTGTTAGATTAGAATTTTAATTAATTTTTATTATTTTTCTCTCATATTAAAATTCTAATCTAATGATATTCGAAAATGATAAATAAGATATGCTGAAAAAAAAGAAGAAGAATAAGTCATCCCTTTTAATAAACTATAACTTTTCTAGTATGTCTACTCTCTTTTTCTGTCTTTTGAAATGCACTCCTCCTCATCCAATTTTATGCTAAAATAAGATTTTTTAAATTAACTTATTTTAGTTTAATTCAGATTCCAGTATTTGTTAAAATAAGTAGGGTGATTTAGTTGCATAACACCATGGAAAAATTGTTTATTATTTTAAATTATATAATTTTATGTCAATTTTAATGAAACTATATTATTTTGATATGTTTTGTCATTTTCTTTCTTTTATAAAATTAGGAAGAAAAAGTAAGTGAACGACAGAGAATATAAAAATACATTAAAATAACATAATTTCATTTAAAAAATAACATAATTTTGTATCAATTTAAGATGACAAACACTTTTTCGTAATATCATAATAAAAACCATAAATTAACTTATTTTATGATTAAAAATACTTGACAATATAAATACTTTTAAGAGGAGATTTTTGAAAAAAAAAAAAAACACTTGCAATTTTAAATTTTCCAGTTACAAGTTGGTCCTAGTAAATTTTTTTGCTTGATTATTATATACGCAATTTTTGTTAAATATTACGATAAAAAATCTTACTCTTTCATAATCACTGATGTTCGAACGGTTTAATTAAGCTTTGTATGCTGCTCCTAGTAAATTGTATATAAAATTATGAAATCTAAACTTAAAACAATACAAAAACAATAAATCTATATTTATTAATAATTTTTGGTAATTTTTTATCATTTATTATTATTTTTTAAAATGCAAGTTAGATTATATAAAATATTAATTCAACCAAAAAATTTAAATTATTAAATGAATGTTATGTTAACAATTTTATATTATATTTTTTCTAACTTATTCTCAATACAAAATCAGCTGAATTTGAACAATAAATAATACATAAGCTGATCTAAATTTTACTAAGCAAATAAATACAATATTAACTTTAGGGCCAGTTCTATAGATGAGTTAATATCAAAGTTTATATACATGAATAATGTATTCACAATCACAAAAAATAATTATTTTATATAAAAAAATACAAATAATTATAATAATGATAATAATAAATAATAATTTTATTATTATTATTTAGCGAATTGTAATTTTATTCAAAGAATTATGCTTAACTTTCACATTAAAAAAAATCTCTTGTTATTTTAATATTTAATTATTATTATTTTCATAAAATACCTGCTAAATATTAATTTAATAATATTAAATAAATTAATAATTGAAAAAAATTAATCCATAAATTGATTAAACAAATCGAGCTTTATATTCATATTTTGAATAAGTCAAGTTCATTATTTAAATTTTTTTATTTTAATAAATGAATTAAACTTGAAAATTATTTTTTTAAGCTTCAATTTATCTAATTAATATCCATTACAAACTCAAACTATTTAAATTGATTTATCTTATTAATTTTTTGGAGAGTTTTATTTTTTCTGAGAAGTATTAAGCTGATTTTTCAGACGTCCAACAAAATAACTAAACTAAAAAGCTGATCATACCCAAAAAAAAATAAAAAATGTTCGTTATGTGTTGGTATTGGGCTCAAACCTCAAGGACACTTGAGAATCCTATGGGGTCCGAAGATCCGACAGTGCAACGACCCGTTTATATATTTATTTCTTTCTTTCTTTTTTGGTTCACTGGGTAGAACGCCGCGTTTAGAGACTTGAGAAAAAAGAAAAATGGAAGATGTTAGTTTGGTCCAGTGCAGCTACGAATAAATTTTTGCACTAAGATTCAGTGCATCTCACTAATGAGAGCATTAACATCATAGTAGAGAGAAAAAATTTATCAGAGAAAATAAAACTTTAGTTGATATGTAATATTTTTATTGGTGGAATGTACTGAATCTTTAGTACTACGGTAGCGCAAAGATTTTTTTCCCAGCCTACCTTCTTTTATCGTCGTCGTCTTCTTTCAAAAAGCTTAGCATCTGCTGAACCAAGTGAAGAGTCTGGGAAACCAGTCTTTCATTTTGAGTCTTCTAAAGAGATTCAAGTTCAACATGATAACAAAGCAACAGCAACTCTGGAGACTGAGACCGAGTTTTCAAAAGATGCTCGTGCCATCCGTGAAAGAGCTCTTAAGCAAGCAGCGGAGTGTCTGAAGGGAAAAGGCACAACTTCTGAAGATGGAAAATTATATAAGGGAATGAACAGTTACAAAGACCACAAGGCTGGCTTTCGTAGAGAGCAAGTTTATGCATGATCGAGGGGATTACAAGTATGGGTGGCAGATGGAGAAGGAATGGGAAGAAGCTGAGAAAGCAAGAAAGATGAGATTGGCTGCAGGCGAGGATGTGGATCCGGATGAGGAGGGTGCTAATTTGACTGATGAAGAAGATGATGATTTGTTACCATTTGCATGTTTCATTTGTAGAAAACCTTTTGTTGATCCTGTTGTAACCAAGTGCAAGCACTACTTCTGTGAGCATTGTGCATTGAAGGTATAGCCTTACAGTTGTTTCAAATAAGTTTCAATTGGTAACAGTTTGAAGCTATTTAGTGTTTTGATTATGTGACTCAATATTTATAATTAAGATTTTATTTACTCACTCTAGTTTGATTATATTTGGTTTCAGTTGTTATAAAACATTTGGCTGATTAATTACTCTGGTTGATTAGATTATTCAGCTCTGAAACTGAAAGATTTCTAGATTTATCAGCCATAATTAATACTATGTGGTGTTCTTTTAATCTTGTGTTTTGGGCATAAGCACAAGAATGTGTTCATTTATGCTTGTGATGTGTCTACTGTAGTAATGCTTCATTTATTTCTATTTAATCATGTCTAACTTTCTGTTCTTTTTATTTACAGCATCATGCAAAGAATAAGAAGTGTTTTGTCTGCAACCAGCCAACGCTTGGCATTTTGAATGTTGCTTATGAGATACGCAGGAAGATGGCTCAGGGTAAATAATCTCACTCGATACGATCCATGGGATCTCTTTGCTTAGTAGAAGTTCTCTTCCCCCCCCCCCCCCTCATTTTTTCAATATTAGAGAGTAATGTGTTGATAACAGAAAGAGGTTTGCGTAGTGGGGTTAGGTCTGATTTATGCTGTTGTATTTCTTTGACTATTAAATCCTGGAATGTCTGATTGTGAGACATTTACCTCTTTCTATTAAATAGCACGTTAGTAGTACATGATGTGCTTCTTTTTGCAGTGTAACTCAGTTTGATACTTGACTAGTTTTGAATAGAATGACCTTAAATATCACCGTTCTTAAGATAAGTATGAGTTCTTCTTTTTGCTGTTCTTAACCTCTTGTAATTATTCACATATATTGTTGGAATAATCATTATTGTGACTTTATTTACATTTTGAATTGTGAATAATGACTAATTCTGTTTCTGTTATTTATTTATTTATTTTCTTTAGTTGAATATCACTTAAAAACATTTCCTGGTTATTGCTTCTTTCAAAGTTTGTTAATGGTAAGGATTCACAAAATATTATCTTTGCAATTATGCAAGGATAAGGCTGCATTTCCTCCACCCCACATTCGCTAGTCGGGTTTAACGGAGAGTGATTTTTTTTTTTTTTATGTGCAGGTCTTGTTGGAAGAAATGGGACAGGAAAAACTGTTCCCTTATGTGTTGTTTTGCCTAAAAAATGTATATGCTCTCAAAACTGGGACAACTGACAATGTTGTCTTGACTTCATTGATGCTATTTCACAAAGGCTTGAGGAAATATACAAGAGGCTTGACTTCATTGATGATGATTCTGCAGAGTCACGGGCAGCATCTATACTTGCAGACTTGCAATGACGCTCTGCATCATTAGCTGCATGCCAGGGATCAACATCCTTGGCTGCATTTCAAGTCTGCCTGCAGGTTTGGTTGGCAGTGTCTCTTCTTGGCAATTTAACATCCATGAAATGAAACTATAGAAGC